ACACCTTTTGGCATCAGGGGTGGCCCGAACTTGCCGCATCAGTGGAAGACCTAGGATCTGAGATGAGCTGTCATAAAGATGCGTCGGGTTCACATCATTGTGGAACAAAGGCAGTGGTACTTTGCTGAGCCACCTGTAGATGTGTTCGAGCTTAGTGACTGTGGTAAGGTCCAGGGAAAAATAATCCCAGATAAACTGGTTATAGTGAAAGCAGTCAGCGTGGTGCAGACACATGATGAGGCCCAGCAAAAGGGCTAGGAAGATAAAGTGCATGAGAAGGTAACTAAGGAAAAGGAATGCTCTTCTCTTGATCCTCTTCTTCCTTTTGAATATGAGAATTTCATCCTCGGTGAGGGGCTGATACATCCTAGAGCGCCTGAGGCGTCTCATATGGAGATGCTGCCTGTGTTTTCCGGCTTTACTCTTCCTCAGCCCAGGAAGCTTGATCTCCGTGTAATGATATTTCACTGTCCACGGAAGGCTTTTACAATACTTGGGCTTACGTGTTTTGATACTTGTCCAGAGTAAAATTTTCGTTGTCTGCACTAGAAAAATTGACTGAAAGAATGAGAAAACCGATGTGTAGAGCCATTGTTTTGACAGATTATAGCCATAAGTCAGTCCATAAAACACAATAAAGAATGACGATATGCTACAAATGGCAAAGACCAAGAACCACCCTATGTAAACACACCACCGAGGGAGAAGAATCCTGGTCTTACGCTTCGGTTTCTTTTGGGAAGGAGGCTCTTCAGAGCGCACATCTTGATTATCTTCCGTGTTAGCGTTTCTGTTGTTGTTAGAATTGGTATTTTTCTTGTAGGACTGAGGGGCCTTGCTTTCTTCTTCCTCAAGCTGGTGATTTGTTTTGGAGGTTGTCTGCCCAGAAGCCTCCCGAAGTTCTGAACTGCCACTAGATGCGAGCTTTTCAGCGTGCCTCTTCTTCGTCTTAGTGGTTTCATAAGCGTACCACTTTACCAAATGTTCATCCCAGAATCCACCTTCTTCTGACACCACAGGATGATCATTTCGAGGAGCTACTTCATCTACAGTCATTTCAATAGGTTTCTTCTGAGAATAGGTGAACAGAAAACTTAGCAATACTTGCACAGGTGCTGTAATTAAGGCACTTTCAATTCCAATCATCATTAATCTGATGTAGTATAACTCTTTTGACTCAATGTCTTCTTTGCGATTGGCGTTAAAGAACATAATGTTACAAAGAAGAGTGCTGAGCAACACTGCTAAACAGCAAGACAGTCGTTGTAGCCGGTTGACCGGTTTAGCAATGATACCGGCAAAAATAGAGAACCACATGTGGCTTTTCCCGAGCTCATAAGTTGAAGTGATCAAGAAAAAATCGATTCTGTTCAGAGGCTTCTCTGGGTTGGTTACAGGAAATGTCTGGTCCACAGAGGTTTCAAGAGAAAGCCATTTCCGGCACATGAACAGCCAAATGCGCCTGTGGAACAGGTTTTCCACTTTAATTCGACTTACATACCAACTGGGCGCTTTGCCCTCATTGTTGTGCCACAGGCGAATGGAGTGGATGTCACCCAAGTCACTTTTCGTCGTTAGGAGGAAAGTATTGGCGCAGCCTCTCAAGAGAGTTTTATAATCTGGATGGGTTAAGCAGTGCACATCACTGGTACCTTCTGATCCCATCAGCTGGATAAAGACATCAGCCCTGGTCCCAGAACCCCAACGACTTCCTGTAAAAATTGTGATCAGGTAGCACTTGCTATCATAAGGGTCATTGTCAGGAAGAACGATCACAGGATGCCGCTGAAACTGGTCCGTTTCATCCCTGTGCAAGGCCCAGAAAGCAAGGACAATGTAGATGAGCAAGATGAACAGCACCGTGAAGAGGGTCACGGGGTTCTGGCTGATTTTCTTCACCACATCCAGCTGTAGATCCACAGGATTAGGGATCACAATCACCTTGGCTGTGATAAAGTGCGTGCGCAGCTGAATTCTATTCCGGTTTAAAATGGAGCTCACCTGCCGCCTAGCCCTTCCTTTGACCTTGCAGATACAGTGCACTTTGTGCCAGTTGGTCTTCTTTCCCAGGTTGCAATTGCCTTCTCTCCAGTCACTCTGAATGCCAAGCATGTCCAAGCAATGAACGCTAAAAATAGAGATGCTCACTAGCCTGTCACTGGGTGTCAGGACAAAACGAGGGGCCTGCAGAACCACAGAGACAGCACACTTGGGAGAATGGATGAGCTGAGCTATCAGCAGCAGTAGTGTCTGGGAAAGGCAAAGCACTCGGGCCTTCTTCACAGAACAGGTCAAGTCTAACAGATCACTGGGGCTGGCAGTTGGAGGCATGTCATGGGGCACCAGGAAGGAGGCCACCAGAGCAGGGGGGGTGACCTCACTGCCCGCGTACACCAGCACCTTGAAGACCACCGTCACTTGGGTCACAATGTGGATCAACAACTCCTTGACTACTCC